ACCACATATATATATATATATAAATAGGTTTGGGCATATCCTAATTTGAATGAAAGAAGAAAAAATTGACAAGTTAGAGCAAAGCACAACTGAAAGAAATACTAGGAATTTTTAAAATATACTTTCAATTAAACTGGTAAGTGTAAAAATGTTTCTAAATGCTAAAAGCACTTTTTTGTTCAACTCTCCCTTTCCTCAGTCTCCTCTTACTAGYAAATAACTAACAATATCTACATGACCATAGCAGCACAAGTCAGTCATTGTGCCTCAACAGAGCAGAGAAGAGCAAACCAAGCTATAATTCAGCCACCAAGTCAAGCTAACCTTTACGTAGCTTTAAAAACACCTTACAGAAAGATGCATTTRCTGGTGTAATACTGAGTCGCAGTTGAGGTATCATACTGAACGGCAAGCCGTGCCCYAGTGAATTTGATCCTGTGCAAACACAGCCAAGAGGTGCCTATTCAGAAGGGCCTACAAGCTGCGTGCATGAACCTGTGTCTGCTGCACGTGCTCTATCCTTAGATACAGGCGGTGGGATTAACGRTACACATTCATAACCAGCCTTGCCTCTCAAGTCTCAAAAATGTAAATGAGAACACACAAGAATGGCATAAGAATGGGAAAACTAAACAAAAGTAAATCAAACAAATAACAATAATAAAGGTTTGCCACGCAGAACCAAAGAGGAAGGCCAGGTACACGTGGTGGGTTCAACAAACAGCGGAAAGGGAGAGCTCTCAGGTAGCATATTGCAAAGATACATCAAGAAATAAGCACTCCAGGTCACAGGTTCTCTAGCCAAAACCAGTGAACTTTGCTGGAGTAATCCAGGAAACTGCGCCAATGTGGCTGATGGCATCAACTGAAACTCAAGGGGCTAAAGGGCAGTAAACTCCTGCATAAAAACTGCAGCTCTGTGTGGCATATCTGTTTTGCTCACCTGAGGAAAGGCACTGCTGCTTAACTGGTACACGCAGCCCCTCAAACCAAACCACGCAGTTTACATTTAGCTCTTTTAAAAACAAGCACGGGGGCATTGTTTTAYCACAATTACGTGATCTGAGCCCATGGTTGTCCATCAGTTGGGTCAGGACAAACAAGAACAGATGCACTCCCGCTGCTTCCCCGTGACACCCACCACAACAGGCTCCAGGCGTGCCTAGCAGGGGCTGCACTAAGCGCTGTGTGTACCTAGGGATCGAGCCAAGCCGGTGCAACCTCCCTGCCCCGCAGCTCTCGGTAGGTCACAGCGGTTTAACAGAACCGCAGGGCTGGGGGTGTCCGGACGAGCCCAGGCTGCGGGGCGCCAACCCGTCCCCGTCCTGAGCGGTGTGGGGGGGGCGGCGGCCGGGCTGCGCGGCGGCCGTTGCGGCCGTTGGCGCCGCCGCGCGGGAGCGCCGCCCGCGCGCGGAGGTACCGTACCCGCGGGCAGCAGGCAGTCCAGCGGCGTGAACACGCGCTCCATGGCGCCGCCGCGGCGGGGAGCACCCACACAACGCCCGGCGCTCGCCGGGAAGGTGCGGAGCGCGCGGTGGCCTCCCCGCTTCCCTCCTCCTCGGGGCACAGAGGCGCGCGGCTGCGGGAGCCGCGGGGGGAGGAGGAAGGAAAGAAAGAAGGAAGGAAGGAAGGAAAGAAAGAAGGAAGCGGCCGCGGGCAGCGCAGCGAGCAGCGCGGCGAGGCGGCCGCTACCTGCCGGCCGGGGCGGAGCGGAGCGGAGGGGAGCCGCGGGGGAGGGCGGAAAGCCGAGCGCATCGATGGCCGCCGCCATCCGTCGCTCGGCGGTGGATTCGGCAGCGGGCGGC